CCCCAAAACCCCAAAACCCCACGAGAGCTCTTTAAGCAGAAAATAGTTTATTCATAATCTGAGATATAAACTAGATTAATAAATTAATACAAACATGAGAGGTGATCAAAGGATTAACTTTGCTTTAAAAGTGTTTGCAATCTCATTATTATTGGCATTTACCTAAACCAAATCATTCTTGAAACTTTATGAAACAGGAAAATAAGAAGTCTAAAAATAAATTTTGACAGTTGGAGTTTTGACAATTCCAGCTACAGACTCAGAATATCAAGATGTCCATCATCATCATTATATCATAGAAATGAATCTCATTTGGATGCTAACTGGCGGGATGAATCCAGTTGCAATACCATACAATGCAACAGATGATTTGCTTTATGCACTTTTAAGATAAGTTAATGGCATTTATTTCACTGGGGGTGATTTAGATTTATTTAATAATGTTACTGGAGCTCCTCACCCTTACACTGTTACTGCCAAAAAGATCTTTGAATATGCTAAAACTTAAAATGACAATCATATATACTTCCCAATCTTTGGTGTGTGTCAAGGCCATGAGCTCTTGCATTTACTAGTGGCTGATAATATTTCAGCTCTAGGATGGTCTGAAGGTGAGAATGTATGTTTGAGCACAAACTTTAGTTTTGATATGAAATATGTAACTAGATTGTTCTCTTCTTTCAGCGATGAGACTTTAGAAGCCATGCAAACCTAAGAAATAATGATGCATTTACATCATAGAGGAATTCCAGTTGACTATTATTAGAAATACCCCACATTGGCTAAATTCTTTAGGATCTTATCAACCAACAACATCTAAGGGAGAGAAATAGTAAGCACTGCAGAAGCTCTCAAATATCCTTTTTATATAACTCAATATCACCCTGAAGCAGCATTTGATCCTGTTTCAGATATGCATGCTAATCATCAGATTATTAGCTTCAAGATGGCTTAATCATTCGCTAACTTCTATGCTTCTTAATGTGATGTTAACGACAACCAATTTAGTGACCAAGAACTTTTAAATAAATGGCTAGTAAAGAATGGATATAAAACTAAAGTATCATATATTGAAAAATTAGTAAACGTTTATGCTTTTGATTACTGATTAGATTATTAGCATTAAGCATATCAAATTTTTTAGACTAAACAATCTAGCGGGGTTTTGGGGTTTTGGGGTTTTGGGG